CCACCCACCCACACACGCGCGGAACGAACTGATTTGCTTGTGCAACGACTCGGGGAATCGAATTATTTTTCCAGTGTCGGACTTTTCAAGGCTCCTGATGGACGCCAGAGGGTTGCGTGAAACCCCAAGCACCTTGCGCGCCTGCGCCCATGGGCACGCGGTATGATTTTTGAGGAAATAGCGTTTAGATCCTACAAGTTCCAAGAGAAGACTTCCCGCGGTGACGGAATGTCGGGTGTGCTCTGTGCAACTGGTGTACTCGGTTGACAAGGTGGCTAGACGAGCAGGAAGTGAGGCATACGAACCAGCGAAACCAGAAGAGGGATGTTAACTGGAGAGGTGGCGGCTTTGCGGTTAGGGACCTGCATGCAATTGAACTAACCCAGAAAAGTCAGCAGTCGGGTCTGCGACTCCCTGCCTTCCGATGGAACACACCCCCCACCCCACCCCGCGCGCGCGCCCCCAGAGTGGCAGGCAGGTAAAAAAGTAAATGCTGTGCTTTCCCCAGCAAGCAAAACCATCTCTATGGTAACGCATTCTAGAGAGGAAATAAAATGTTCTTGAAAAGGCCGGGTGTGTTTACCAAACTCACGTATGACACGAACCTAATTCGTTTCCTGGACAGATTCTTTTGGTGGCTCTATGTGGTAGACCCGCTACTCACAGCCCTTGGCCACCCTCTTTGGAGACAAGGGCTCATCTGTAGCCCAAGCTGGCCTTGAACCTGTAGTCCTCCGGCCTCAGCCTCCTGAGTGCTGGGATTACAGGCCTGTACCACAACCCACCTGGCCTTTCCCTGGTGGTTTCTATGACCCTGTGCAGCCCAGAGTTTTGAATAGTTGTAGTGAAATGTCTAAGAATAGGAGCAATGTATGAGCAACAGTCAAACTCTGTCTCCATTTCTAAGCAGTTGTCACTGAGAGCGAGACCCTAGGTCAGAGGAAATCCATTTAAGAGTCTTTGATGAGGGCTGGGAGGGTAACTCCATTGGTAAGGTGTTAGTTGTACAAGCATGAGAAACAGAGTTTTGTGGGGGGGCGTAGATATTTATCTATATATGAATATTGTTTTGCATGCGTGTTTATATGTGCATCAGAAGGTGCTGGATCTGGAACAGATGCTTGTGAGCTACCATGTGGGTGCTGGGAACTGAACTCAGGTCCTCTGGAAGAGCAACAAGTGCTCTTTTTATATATATAATTTGTTTAATGTGCATTAGTATTTTGCCTGTGTAAGGGTGTCAGATCCCCTAGAACAGGAGTTACAGACACTTGTGTGCTACCATGTGGGTGCTAGGAGCTGAATTCGGGTCCCCTGGAAGAGCAGCCAGTGCTCTGACCACTGAGCCACCTCTCCAGCCCCACAACAAGTGCTGTTAACTGTAAGCATCTCTCCAGCCTCAAGGACAAGGTGTGAGGGTGAGTCTGAGTGATCCCAGCCCTGGAGAGGCAAAGACAGAAGATCCCTGGGGCTTACAGGCCAGTCAGCCTTGATGGACTGGGGAGCCCATGCCAGAGAGACTGTCTCAAGAAAAAAAGGGGGGAGAGGGATAAGCTATTGAGTAAAACAGAGATTGATCTCTCTCTTTCTCTCCCTCAGTTTCTTTCTCTCCCTCTCTAGCTCCCCTCCCCACAGGCCTCCCTCTTTCTCTCTCGTGGCTCTCTCTCCCCTCCCAGCCCCCTGCATCTTCTTCCTCCCTCCTTGCCTGTCTTTCTGTCTCCTCCACCTTACCTCCTTCCTCTCTCCTCTCTCCCCAGCCCCACCTCTGTGCACTTCCCTCCTTTCCCAGTCTCTCCCCACCCCCCATGCCACCCGTCCCGAGCCTCAGCTCACAGGTGTTTTCTCCTTTTCCAGCTGTTCCTGACCCAGGAAGCTTGGATTATTCCACCTTGTTTTCTACTGCCTGGGTGCCTGATTATCCCAAGCCCTGAGCCACATCTGTGCCTCCTGGAGGCTACTGGGGAATCGGTCCCTCTGCTCACTACCCAGGAGCCAGCAGGGCTGTCTCTAGTTCGAGAATCCTAACAGTGTCCTGCCATACCCTGCTTCAGAGAGAAGACTGTCCTCCCTGGAAGCTAGTGAACATCTTTGTTGGGCATGTGTCTCTGTACGCTGCTGCAATATGTACACACGCATCTGGAAGATATAGTCAGACATTCACTGGCTGTCTTTTCCAACCACACCCCACCTCAATTCTCAGACAATCTCTCACTGAACCTGAAACTTAGTGATTCACCTCGATGGGCTGGCCAGCAAGCCCTCAAGTCCCTTATCTCTACCCTGCCTCCACAGGGATTCCAGATGTGGGCTGCCACACCAGTGTTTCCCGAAGGTGCCTGGAATCCAGCTCACATCCTCGGGCTTGCAGAGCAAGCAATCTGACTGAAGTATCTCCCCTTCCTTCTTGTCTTTGAGACAAGATCTCATATAGCCCAGACTGGCCTATAACTCAGTATGTAGCTGAGGGTGACTTTAAACTGTTAATCTTCCTGCCTCCATCTCCTGAGTGTGGGGAATACAAAGATACATGACCAGGTCTGGCGTCGTGCCCACCGCCGGGCTCTGCATGCTAGGCAAGCTCCCTGCCGATTGAGTCACATCCTCAGCCCCTTCCCTACCTTTTGTTGGTGGTGGTTTTGGTTTTTTAAGACAGGGTTTCTCTGTGTGGGCCTGGCTGTCCTGGAACTCACTCTGTAGACCAGGCTGACCTCAAACTCACAGAAATCTGCCTGCCTCTGCCTCCTTAGTGTTGGGGTGTCACCATCACCCAGCCCTTCCCTACATTTTTAGCAAACTTGAACATGACTTTCAGCCCTAGACCAGGGTCTCCCATGACTCTTAACTAGTTTGCATTTCTTTCTCCTTAAGCAAAATAGGTCTAAAATGTATATTCCAAACCTGCGTACTCAGTCCCATGACAGGAACATTGTCAGCTGGTCATCTAACCAACTGAGGTAACAGTTCGAGGCCAGCCAAAGCTATGAGAGCCCACTGGAAAACAAACAAAAGAGGTTTGGGAGACAGCTGGCTTGGTAAAGTGCTTCCCACAGAACGAACGAACGAACGAACGAACGAACGAACGAACGAACGAACGAACGAACGAACGAACGAACGAACGAACGAACGAACGAGGACTGAGTGCGAGCCAGACACAGGAGCACCTACCATCATCCCAGTATCGGGGAAGCAGACGAGAGGATCCCTGGGGCTTGCCGGCCACCAGGCTAGCTCAGTGAGTGAGGTCCAGGTCAGTGAAAGACCGGGCTTCAAAAACCAAGGTGGGACCCCGAAAGATGGCTTCCATTCAAGTTTGAACCCTGGGGGCCACGCTGTAGAAGGAGAGAGCCAACATGCACAAGCTGTCCCATGACCTCCGCTGATGCTGAGCTGGCCCCTCAGCCCTTCATTTATTTATCCTGTTCTTCCGATAGGCCTTTGGGACCTCTCTCTAAATGACTCCTTAAACTAAATGTCATTGATATGTGAGCTCTCATAATGTGTGCGTGTTTTTAGAGACAGCCTCAAATAGCACAGGCTGGCCTTGAATTTGCTACGTAGCCAAGGATGACCTCAAACTCCGATTGCCTCTGGGGTGACAGGAATGCACCACCAAGCCCCACCAAACTTCACCATGCCCCACCAAACCTCACCAAGCCCATCTTCCTACTAAGATCTGAAGTTAGGATCTTCACCCCAACTGTGCAAAAGTAGAAACAAATAAATGTGACCAAGGTCCCCCCTCCCCATTCCCTGAAGGAGTGGGCGCTGTGCCTCCTCACCTAAAGGCATGAATATAAACAAATTAAGTTAATTTGGGGCTCAATAGCATCTAGTTTGTGGGAGAGCAGGATGCGATCTAATTACGGCCGCTCTTTCTGCCTGGGAACACGATCTTTTTAAGGATAGATGGGACTAATCTAGTTTCATCCACTTGCTCTGCTGCACACCATAGCACGATCGTGTGCAGACTGACTCCGGCCCTCTCTCCACCTGCCTTCTCTCGGCCGAGGATCTTCCCTAAGTCAGCAGTTCTCACCCTGTCGGGGTGGAGCAACCTCTCACAGGGGTCACCTAAGACCATCGGAAAACACAGACATTTACATCACAATTCATAACAATAGCAAAATGACAGTCATGAAGTAGCAATTAAATAATTTTATGGTTGGGGGTCACCACAACACAAAGAGCTGTATTAAAGGGTCGCAGTGTTAGGAAGGTTGGGAACCACTGCTTTGAGTGAACGGGTCTTAGTCTCTGACATGGTATTAAGGCTTCAATTTGGGGGCCCATGAGATGACTGAGCAGGTAAAGGTGTTTGCCTCTAAGTTCACTAAGATGACCTAGGTTCAATCCGCAGGCCCCACATGGTGGAAGGACAGAACCAACTCCTGAAAGTAGTCCTCTGACCTCCACACACATGCCTTGGCCCACACATGTATACACACAGAAAGATAAATATAATTTAAAATTTTTCAAAATGTCAATATTTTTTTCTTCTCAAGAACTTTATTTTAGAAAATACAAGCCAGGCAGTGGTGGTGCACGCCTTTAATTCCAGCACTTGGGAAGCAGAGGCAGGTGGATCTCTGTAAGTTTGAGGCCAGTCTGGTTTGCAAAGCAAGTTCCAGGACAGCCAGGACACAGAGAAACCCTGTCTTGAAAAAAAGAGAGAGAGAGAGAGAGAGAGAGAGAGAGAGAGAGAGAGAGAGAGAGAGAATACAATAATATCATTTATATGTAACTATTAGTAACATTGTTTCATTGTTCCTTTTTTGTTGTTCTGCAGGCTGTTGACAAATGTTTACAGGTTGCATGCCTTTAATCCAGCTAATGTGAGCCAATCAAGAAAACCCCTCACAGTGTCCCCAGCTATTTCGTTTAAGACACAGTCAAACTGGCAATCAAGATGAGCCAATACAAGTCCGCCCCTTGTCAGCTTGACACCTAACTGTACCAGGCTTCCTTTTAGGCCACCAACCAGCTCCCAAATCATGACATGGAGACTTGTTCTTAGTTATAAACGCTCAGCCTTATTTTAGCTCTTATTTGAATCTGTTTCTCTTTATCTGCGTTCTGCCTCGGGCCTTTTTACCTTTCTTTCTGTGTGTCCTACACTGTGTCTGTTAGCTGGCCCCAGGTGTCTCCCTCCCTTCCTCCCTCATTCTCTCCTCTCTTGTTCTACTTGAGCCTCGATTCTCCTCCTATTTATCCTCTCTGCTGGTCAGCTCCACCTATCCCTCTTATGCTGAACTATTGGCCATTCAGCTTTTTATTAGACCAATCAGGTGCCTTAGGCAAGCAAGGTGAACCCACAACACATCTTTTCATAATTCAACAAAGGCAGCAGAAACAAATGTAACACATCTTTGCATAGTTAAATAGTCCACAACACATAACCACATCTCTTTTTTTGTTGCTGTTTTTTTTATTTTCGATTTTTCCCCACAGACAAGGTTTCTCTGTGTTGCCCTGGCTGACCTGGAACTCACCCTGTAGCCCAGGCTGGCCTCAAACTCAGAGATCTGCCTGCCTCTGCCTCCCGAGTGCTGGGATTAAAGACATGCACCCCCACCACCTGGCAAGATTTTATTTTTGATTAAATGTATCTGTGTATGCACATGTGCTGGCAAAGGGCAGACAAGTTAGATCCCTCTGGAGCTGGAGTTACAGGTGGTGTGAGCCTTTTGACATGGGAGCTAAGAGCTTTGTTCGAATCCTCTGCAAGCGCGTCTCCAGCCTGTGGAGCTCAGCTTTTTACATGTGTGCTGACAACCAAACTCAAGTCTTCATGGGCTACATAGGGAGACTCTACCTCAAATTTTTTCTTTTTATTTATTTTTATTTTATGCACATTACTGTTTTTGCCATAGGTATTGGGTCCTCTGGAACTGGAGTTACAGACAGTTGTGAGCTGCCGTGTGGGTACTGGGAATTGAACCCAGGTCCTCTGCTCAGCCAGTGCTCTTAACTGCTGAGCCATCTCTCCAGCCCTCAATTTTTTTTTAATTTTGATTTATTGTTATTGGATGTGGTACTGGCTAGTTTTATGTCAACTTTACACAACCTAGAATCATATAGGAGGGAAGAACCTCAGCTGAGAAAATGCCTCTAGCAGATTGGCTTGTGGGCAAGCGGATGGGATAGTTTCTTGATTGAGCTGGTGGCCATGGTGGCTATAAGAAAGCAGGATGAGCAAGCCATGAGGAACAAGGCAATAAGCATCACTCCTCCATGGCCTCTGCTTCATTCCGTCCCTGCCTCCAGGTTCCTGCTTTGAGCTCCTGCCCTGACTTCCTTGGATGATGGACTACAAGCTGTAAGGGGAAATAAACCCTTTCCTTCCCATGTTGCTTTTGGTCACGGTGTTTTATCACAGCAATAGAAACCCTAAGTCATGTGTGTGTGTGTGTGTGTGTTGTGTATGTGTGTGTGTATGTGTGTGTGTGTATGTGTGTGTGTATGTGTGTGTATGTGTGTGT